ATTTTACACTTTCAGTTATATTTTTGTTAATGGTCTCCAGATAGTTAAATCTGTCTGTTTTTTGTTTATAATGTTCTGGTCTTTGTATAATATTAAAAGTGGGTAAAGGGGATCAAATATATGGTAGCTGAAGGAAACTAGACTTTGGGTGGTAAACACAATAGAATATACAGATGTCAAATTATAATGTACCTGAAAATTATATAATTGTATTAACCAATGTTAATAAACTAAATTAAAAAAAAAAAAAGACCTTCCCAATCTAGGTATCATAAAAATATTCTATATATTTTCAGGAAATTCTAGAACTGTCTTCTCTTTTTAGATTTATATCTGAAATTTATTTATGTTTATAGTGTGGGCTAAGAAACTAATTTTCTTTTTCCAAATGGCAGCCCTAAGGGGACATTTTCTTTAACCTACACCTCTGTTCCTCTTATAGCCACCTGCCAAGACCTTTCCTTCATTTGTTTGCCTTGTATTTCTAACCATTGTCTTTTTAGTTTTAACTTCTGGGCTTCCATTATATTCAATGCATATCTCCTTTAATGGCATTATTATGATCTTTTTAAAATATTTCTCCCACACAAGACTGAGCACCTTGGGAGTAAGTCTTAATCAACTTTGTCACTAACATTTAAAACTCAGCAGCTTCTTCAATCAACAATTATCAAATGGAATAAACGAATGGAATGCTGCCATGTTACATACCATTTGTTACTGATGCCATTTAGAAGGTTACTTCCTTATGACACAATAGGAGACACCTTAATCTCAAAAGTGCCTCCAAAGTTCATTTTTGGAGGTAACAAGAGAAAGTTTTCTTCACTAATCCCTTTAGTAACATTTGGATTTCAGTTAGCTTCAACTCTGTGGCATGATATTTTTGTGTACAGCTTACTTCAGGGAGCCTCTATCCATTTATTCCAGTAAATATTAGTAAGCCATAGTTCCAAGACTCCAGCACTTAAAGGGCCCTCCCTGGGACTCTGAGGAAGCTGTTCGTTCAGGAAATATTTGTGGTGAATCTATCATCTGCAAGTTCTCATGCTAGTTGCTGTGGGGAGGCAAAGCTGAGTCAGACATGGTCCTTGCCCTCAAAAGCTCATGATATCACAGTGAGGCCACGTGCATTTTCAGGAGTTTGTGAGCTGCAAAGGGGGTGGTGTACTTTACTGCCTTCTTGATCTGTGGAGCAAGTTGGATTATTTCATCTGAGAAGATCGCTGTCTTTCCTACTTTCAGAACTCTCTGCATTCAGTGCATAAGTACTTATTGAGTTTTGTGGGGTTTCTTTTTTCTTTCTTGAACCTCTTTTCTCTTTGATTCCAGGTCACTAGGAGTGTGTCAGGGGAGGGAGAGCATTAGGTGCAGAGAGGGAGCGGAGCTTAAAGGAGGGACTGGAGAGCACCCCTGTCAGCCAGGAAACCGCAGCTGAGTGTGAGCTTCATTTTACAACCCTGATTGGAAACAATGTTGATCTCATATTGGGTCCTTTAACCACTTCTCTGTGGCCAGAGATCATAGCCCCACCTTCACCAAGATCTCACTGACATAGAACACTAAATAAGGTTAGGGCTCAAAGAACCCCTCATTCCGTCTTCCTCAGTACCTTCAGTTTCTTTTAAACCCCAGCTACAGCCCAATCCAGTATAATACCTTAACTTGTTCTGTGCCTGTTTATCTATTTTCACTTCTTGCCTCTCAGTCATGGTTTCTTCTCTGATCAGTGGGGCTGTCTTTGTTATCTATGACCTTTCTCTTCTGGGAACTCTGCCAATATTTATGCCCCTAGGTGCTGAGATAAAGAACGTGTCTTCCAGGAGATTCTAGACTACTGAGAGGGTAGAACTGACACCAGAGGTAAACACCACCATAACAAATTAAGTAAAAGGGTGCATTTGCCAATTTATAAATTCCGTTTAAAATGGTTGGATCCCTGTGGCCTGGTCCCTTCTCTGACCCTATTGTCGGGACTGTAGGGTCCCCCGAACCTCTTTTGAAGTTAACACTAACCAGATCCACCCCAATGAGCCTGGCTTAGTTTCTCCATTTCCCACTGTTGGAACTCTTACACACTCCAACAAACATACAAGGATTTATAATTCAGGACTTAGGGGATGCAGGCAAAGCTATTGGCCTATTAGGCAAACTAAACTGATTAGGTGAAAAGGATTGAGGGATCTGAGCAGAAAGAGTTCGCTATTCCCAAAACAGCACCATAGTAATTGTGGGAAAACTCAGGACCGTCTTGGACTTCCTTATACCTATTACTTGGTTTAATGTTGCTTTTATTTTGGATACTGAGGGAGGAAGTGCCCTCATCATTTTTAGTGCTTGGGACTTCTAAATATCTTCATGTAATTCTAGGCTCTACTTGCTTTCAGACTCAACTGGCTCTGCTATTGGGCCTCAGCAAAAATAAAAAGAACCCTAATGAAGGACCTTGTACCCGGGTCTGCCCTGCCTTGAAACTTGCCTGGCTTTTCCAGCTCTCTGGGACTGGGCCCTTCCTCTCTCTTGCTAGCACCCCATCTTCTCTTCAAGGCCAGCCTGGAGTTAAGGCATGAAACTTCCTGACCGTCTTTCCAAATGCCTGCCTGATCTCTGTAGGTCGCTTGACCCTGATCTTCCTGTGCCCCTCTCCAGTCATTCTACTTCTCCTGCACTTCCCTGGGGTCAGCTGCAGCTGGTCCCTGGTCTCTGCGGTGGTAACATGGAACTCTTACAACTGAGTCCCTCTCCAGAGCACAGAGAAGGGGACAATTCCAGGTCTTTTCTTTGATCTTCCTGCCAGGCACATCACTAGCATCAATATTTTAGCTTGGTTCAGAGTTCAAGAATATTATTTGTACCCTCCTTGAGCTATTCTGTGAATAAAATAGGACTTTGTGGGTGGACACTGGAGCCTACTTAATTAACTATAACCATCAAAGGGCCGCATATGCCAGCCTCTCATATGTGCTATCTTATTTAAACTTCACAGTAGTCCTATAAAATAGGTGTTAGTGTTAGCTCAAATAATAAACAAGTCACTGATCATAGAGAGATTACAGAATTTGCCTGAGGTCACACAGCTAGAAAGTAGCAGAGCCAGGGTTCAGATCTAGCTCAGTCCTGCCAAAGCCCTGGTGTGCCCATAACTACAAGTCACTTAGTGTTGCTAATACGTAGATTATCTCAGCAAAATACACAATTGTTAACATTAGTGTATTTAGCAATTAAGAGTGCACACCTCTTTTGGTTACCTTATAAATAAAATATCCAAAATGTTTTCTCTTTATTGGGAGACGCTTGTGTGGTTTTTATGGGAAAGAAGGTGGTACCTTGAAGGGAACATCAAAGAAAAGTCAGATATAAAGAAATGGGAGAGATTTTTCTAGATTCAGATACTAGAGCAAGTGTTTATCCTTTAATCATTTTTGCCTCAGAGATTTTACAGCTCAATAGCAAAGAGTCACTCAGAATCTGAGTGACCAAAGCTGGCAGAAGACAGACCCAGTGTAGTGGGGCCAATAAAAGCGGGTGTGCAGATGACTCTTTATGGCTCCCTGCCATTGGCCTGTCTTCATTTACAGTCAGAAACAGGCAGAGGAGGTCCAAAAATGGACTTAAATCCCCCCTGCTGTATTGGGGGTTGCGTAAAAAATTCTTGTAGGAAGAAAGCAACACCAACTAATCTCTGTTATTATGCTATTGTCGTCAGACGAAGTTTACACCTCTGGACTAAGCTTTGGGGAGGTCGAAGGGGACTCTGCAAACCATGACTGTGCTTTGCTAGCTGCCACCCATTAGGCTCTGCCAACAGGGGGCGCTGGAGGGAGACGGCGAGGCTGGAGGCGGGGCTTCCTGTTACCTATCTACTTCCTGCTTCTGTGAGCATCACCATGTCAACGTGCGTTTACTCCGCTGTGGTGTATCTTGTACTTAGCGGCGCTGAACCTAGTGTATAGTAAGAGCGGATGGAGACACCAGTCACCTCATAACAGTTCTGAATCTCGGCTTAGGGCACCTTCCTCTGAGCTAAGAGACCCCAGCAACAACTGAGTAGTGTCCCTATCTCAGAGGTCTGAGTTTTAGCTTGTTGACACCTTCCTAAATTCAAATTTTAATTATTCCCAATTTTTTCCCCTTCATCCTTCCAGCTTAGGGGTTGTAGCTACTTCCAGCAATTTCTGTTTCCCTAATAATTTAGTGTCTACCCCTCCCCAACACACACCTTTTCATTTATTAACAGCTTTATACCTAGTTAAGTTTTTTATATTAAATTTGCTATTTTGGATATTTGGCTAGGAATACTGCATTTTTGGAAATGTGGTTTGGGGGTGAGGAGAAGAGGCAAACACCAGCAAACAACACCAGCAGCTTTGAAGAAGGCATTTTCCACATTGTATTGCCAAAACCGCCCCATGGGGCTTTCACTGAAGTCCAGCTGCCCATAGTGCTATCCATTCTTCAGACTGCCAAGAACCCCAGACAGACCTTAGTGAGCGAGATCTACAATCGGGAATCCTGTGGATATTTCTACAACATACAGATTATTAATAGTCATGGAAAGACAGGCAAACGTGTTTTTTTGAGCAGGTACCATTTGAAGAACAAACTCCGGTTTTCATTGACTTTTTTAAGTGAAAAAACAAAAGGAAAAATCTTTGAGAGGTATTTTTATTGCTTCACTCTTAACGTTCAGGGAATATAAGAGTGACACTTGGACTTCAGGCCAGAAGAGGGCAGGTGCATACTTGTGTGTTGCTATGGTTCTTTGTTAAGGGGGAAAAATAATTTTCACGTTCTTGTATGAACATTGACAAGTTTTTATGAATGGTTTAATGGCAGGAGAGCCTGGACATAACAAACTGGGCTGTCCTGGTTGAAATTCCTGCTTGCCTTCTCAGATATTGACAGCATTTTTTTCCCTGCCTTGCTCACTTCCCTGAATGACTCGTTCTTGAGAATATGCTCCTCCTGAATGATATATCTGAGTTTGTTCTCATCTGAGAGCTGTAAACTGAAAGGAGAGTGATAAAACCACTTGCTGCTCTTTACTTTGCAGATATTAAGGAGGAGGTTGAGATAGTTTCTTGCATGTCCTGTGAATGTCAAAATATATTTTGGAGGAGCTAAAAGAAGACCAGGGAATATGGTATTCACATTTGCTTTCATGGAACCCAACCAGTCTTTCCTTGGAAATAGAAATAAACTCTGGCAAGAGATCTTCCCTAAATAGGAAAGAAGCCATTAAAGGTGAGAATTTTCTTAGTTTTTTCTTTTTTCTTCCTCTTAGATTTAACCATAAAAGTTATTACTAAAGAGGATATAATCTTATGCTTAGGAAGAGGATACAAAACAGAAAAACATTCATTGTTGGATGTGTCATTTTCTCTTTCTCTTTTCCACCTTTTAGGAATTTTTTTTCTGTAGTTATCTTTTTTTCTTTCTTTCTTTTTTAAATGGTATGCATTACCCTGTATTGTATTTAAACAGTAGCTGTGGTTTGGAGGAACAAAGTATTAGGCATATAGACAAAAAAAACAAAAAAAACAAAAAAAACCAAAAAAAAAACAAAAACAAAACTAGGGGGTGGGGACTTGGGAAGAGTCACAGATTTGCTTCTTATAACATATATCTGATATTCAAGAAGTTATTTAGCTCTGTTTTCCTATCTATAAAAGAGGAAATATTACTAATACTACATTTCAGGTATGTTGTGAAGATTAAATGAGACAATGTAAAGAAATATTTCTGGCCCATAGAAAGCACTCATTAAATATTATATGTGGATAACTCTGCGTTGTCTGTGTAAATATATTTTAAATTTGGATAGACTAAGAGTTATCTATATGTATAATTACACTCCAATATTTCTTATGTTTTTGAGAACTTTTTTTAAAAAGGTGGCTAGATGCCACCTCTAATCAATGAATTACATGTGGTGAAAGCAACCTAACATATAAATTGCCAAATAAGAGCAAGAAATGTACCTTTTCTTTAAATGGGACTTTCGAATTTCTAGAACCGACGCTGAGAGTCTGAATTTCATGGATTTTCTCCCCAGGACAATCAGAAATTCTACTCCCAGTAAGAGTTATGTTAGAAACCGGGTGGTAGGGGGTGGGGACAGTAAAGGAGAATGAAGGGCGGGGACTTCCTCATACTAATTACACCTTTATATCTGCAGGTGCTCAGTTCTGCTTCTCTTTCTCCTGGGGTGACATGGAGCCAGGTCTTGATTACAGCACAATCAGCTAATTTATAGGGTCAGGTTATAGACCTCCATCAGCCAGCCAGGTGTAAAAGGTTCCTAGGCAGGTCTTGACTGAGGATAAATGTCTAGAGAAGAAATACATTTTTTGCCATCGCTTTGGAGTTGAACTTGACGTTCTTGGGACACATTCAGGATTAATTTGTAACTGAAGGATTTTGTTCTGTTCAAGGATTTCCTCCTCCTCCTCTGTGCTCAAACTCTACTGATCTCTCATTCCATGAAGATGATTCGGTGGAAGAAGAAACTCTGTCAGCAGTATTACCTGTGGACCCTGGGCTTCTATTTGCTGCTGGCCACTGTTGCTCTGAGACTTTCTCTCAGATCGAAGTGTGACTTTGATTTCCTGGATCTGGAGTCCAGGCACGTTCAAAGCAAGCACTGTAGGGACATCTTGTATAAGTCCCTGAAGTTGCCAGCAAAGAGATCCATCAACTGTTCTGGAATCATCCAAGGGGACCAGGAAGCAGTGACCAAGGCTCTCCTGGACAAGCTGGAGGTCAAGAAGAAGCGGGAGCCTTACACAGACAGCGATTACCTCAACATGACCAGAGACTGTGTGCACTTTAAGGCCAAAAGGAAGTTCATACAGTACACACTCAGCAAAGAAGAGTTAGACTTCCCTATTGCATACTCTATGGTGGTCCATGAGAAAATTGAAAACTTTGAAAGGCTGCTGAGGGCCTTGTATGCCCCTCAGAACATATATTGTGTCCACGTGGATGAGAAGTCTCCGGAAACTTTCAAAGAGGCAGTCAAGGCAATTATTTCATGCTTCCAAAATGTCTTCATGGCCAGTAAGTTGGTTCGGGTGGTTTATGCCTCCTGGTCCAGGGTGCAGGCTGATCTTAACTGTATGGAAGACTTGCTCCAGAGCTCAGTGCCATGGAAATACTTCCTGAATACCTGCGGAACAGACTTTCCTATTAAGACCAATGCTGAGATGGTCCAGGCCCTCAAGATGTTGAAGGGGAAGAACAATATGGAGTCAGAGATACCTACTGAGTTTAAAAAATCTCGCTGGAAATATCGCTATGTGGTGACAGACACCATACACATGACCAGCAAGATGAAGGACCCTCCTCCTGATAATTTACCTATGTTCACTGGGAATGCCTATATTGTGGCTTCTCGAGCCTTTGTCCAACACGTCATAGAGAACCCCAAATCCCAACAACTGATCGAATGGGCAAAAGACACTTATAGCCCCGATGAACACCTCTGGGCCACTCTTCAGCGTACACCCTGGATGCCTGGCTCTGTTCCCTACCACCCCAAATATCACTTCTCAGACATGGCCTCCATTGCCAGGCTGGTCAAGTGGCAGAACCATGAAGGAGATGTCAGTATGGGGGCACCTTATGCACCTTGCTCTGGAATCCACCAGCGGGCTATCTGTGTTTATGGAGCTGGGGACTTGCATTGGATTCTTCAGAACCATCATCTGTTGGCCAACAAGTTTGACCCTAAGGTGGACGATAATGTTCTTCAGTGCCTAGAAGAATACTTACGTTATAAGGCCATCTATGGGATTGAACTCTTAGATACATTATGAGAGAATTGCTACCTGCGGGGCAGGAACACGTGCAAACATGCCCAGAACGTGCTGGGACAGCATAGGGTGGGAGACCAGGGCTCAATTCCGTGGCACCCTCCGGGGAAAGGGGCTGCTGCTGGAGTGGGGGTAAGTAGATCTGCTGCCTCGCAAATTACTGCCCTGGACAAACACTGACTCTTTTCTCACCCCACTCCCAACAGCCCCTTTGCTGACTTTCTCACAGAAAATGAGAATGAAAACTAGTTATTTAGAGTCAGGGAGGGAAGTATGTATGGCAGGGGGCTCTGGATTTTATTAGTTAAATGCTCGGTTTCCAGCTTTCCCATTCGGAGGAGATGCTGTTCCTAATAATTCTAGGCTTGGTAGTATGGTGGGGGTAGGGAGTTAGATGGAAAGAGGGCCTTCTCGTTTGTAATTTTAAAATAAATAGTTCTTGATTCAAAGCCCTACCTCTACTTTTTGTCTGGTAAACCAGAAATAAAAGTGTGAGCCTTTTTCTCATAACTATTGGTGACATTTAAAAATCCCTGGTGGATGGCAAGACACTCTCCATTATTCTTGAATGATCATGGCATGCTATATAAAGAGCTAATTTAAAAGAATATAGAGGAACAGAGCTGATGCTTTTATTTTTGAAAACCTTCCTCATTTTGTTTACATTGCCAGATTCATAACTTTTCTGTATGGGAAAAGGCAGGGCAATTTAACCAATTTGACCACCCTATCCTTAAGAGAAAATTACTGCCCTAATTTTGCAGCTTCACAGCCAAAGTTTAACATTTCATAACAAAGATAATAGCTCTTTTAGGTAACCACATAATTAATTGTCCAAACTGGAACATACTCAGGGTGTGTGTGTGTGTGTGTGTGTGTGTGTGTGCGTGCGCGCGCGTGTGCGCATGCATGTGTGTATGTGTGTGTTGGGGGGCGGCAAGCAAAAATTAAACTAGGATTGCTTAGCTAAACCAGGAAGTCTGGTTATTCCACATTTAGGTCTCTTGAGACAAAACTTTTAAGTATGTGAATGGAAGGGTCACTATTTGTGGTTCTTTGACTTATAGTTTCTTTGTGGGGAAGATACAAAGAAATTATGTGTGTATTTACCTCCCCTTCCTCTGAATGTTACCCAGTGAGACTTGAAGCTCCAGAGATAATTGTGAAACAATTGGAAGGCAGTTGCTATTAGTAACACTCTTCTGTGATAGGCAAAGGATACTATATAAAAAGATAGGCATATCTTGTATCTAGTATAATTTATCTTCTGCACATAATCATGCTTTGGAAAAGTGATTTATATACAAATTCATGTAATTTGAATGCTGTTCCCATTAATGTCATAATGTGTTTCTTCACTTCTGATTATGATTCAATTACGTTTTCTCTTACAATCAGCTTTTCCTGCAACCCATGTACTCTGACATAGTTATCATTGTGTCTGACGCAGTGAATTTTCCACTTACAAGTTAGTGTTGCTTTTTGTACAATATTCCTTTGGTAATGGGTGTTGCCACCACCAACTTCCCTGTGTCATAATATGGAGTCCTGTTCACCTAGCTCTCAGCCCCACCACGAAGATGACCGATGAACAGTCACATGCTCTGCAGATGAGCCGCTGGAAGGACTGTTCCCAGCAACATGGACCTCTCCATCTACTGGCCTTTGTGATTGTCCTTGGACTTCCTCTGAGGGGGCTGGATGGGTGGGTGGGGGGAACACGGTTGCTGTGGGAAGTGGACAGAAAAGCTTTCTTGGATGCACGTGCTCTGAGAAAAGAACTCCGGTCTTTGGCCTCATACTGAACTTCTGTAAGTTATAATGTGAAATAAGTTACATTTTTTTATATGTAAATAAACTAAAAAAATTAAAATGTGAACTTGTCATTTTGGGGGAACAAGTAGCTTGAATTTCCCAAGCATTTGAAATCGTCTCTAGAAATACATTGTAGTGAATAGAAGGTGCTCTTTATTTAATAACATAAGGTCTTCATATCAGAAGGGTCAAATTTCTCCCTCATTTGTGTAGTGTATTTTAGAAATCATACAATTTAATCACCACATCTGTTGATTTTTCCTTCCCTCTGAGTCATATCCATTTCTTTAACCTTTCTCTGGAGAGGAGAAATCTCATAAAAGATTGAGCAACTATGTTTGTATTACGTCTCAATGTTTGAATTACCTTTTTTGATTTGTGGACTATTGGTAAACATTGTTTTAATAATGTTATATTTTGTACACTTTGCCTCTAATCTATGATCTTTGAGTGAAATTTCTTTAAGAAAAGAAGAAAAGGCAGTTGATAATTTTGTTTGGGGAGATTATGTATTTGGATTAAAAATGAAAAAAAAAAAAAACACTAAATACATTGCCTGCCCTAAGTACCTTAATTGAATTGAAGATTTGTTCTTCCATTTAGTCAATCATTTATCACAAAGATGGTGAAAATTTGGCTCTTGTCTCTATGCAGCTACGAGCACATGACAAGCCCTGAAACAATTCATTCATTCATTCCACAATTATTAACTAAGCTCTTACTATTTACCAGGTATTGACCTTGACACTGGGGATATATAGCAATCACCAAAACAGAAATCCCCACGCTCATGTTGTTTGCATAGAAGGAGGAAAATGACTATAAACAAATAAGTAACACGTGTGTATATTAGAAGAAAACAAGCGCTGGAGAGAAATTGAAGGGATAGGGACTGTACAAGAGCGGGGTGGGAAGGGAGGATGCTTAATATTTTAGGTAATGTGGTCAGGGAGACCATTAATGAAAAGGTGACATTTGAGTAAAGATCTGAAGGGGATGAAGGAATGATCCATGAGGATCAGTGTGGGGAAGAGCATTCTAGGCCAAGACTTGCAAGGCCTTGCAGCAGGAACACACCTGCCATGTTTGAGGAACAGCAAGGAAGCAAGTGTAAAGGGAGCAGGGTAAAGGAGGAGAGGAAGAATTAGGAGTACAAGGGAGAAGGTTAACATGAAGGCCCTTGTAATGTGTTACATGGGCTTGTCTTCTCTGAGTGACATAGGCCGGTGGAAGTATCTGAGCAGGGGACTGACATGGTCTGATTAACATTTTCATGCTGTGTTGAGAACAGACTGAGAGGTGAGGGTGAAGCAGGGAGGGCCAGTTAGGAGGCTATGGCAGGCATCTTGGCACTAGCAATAATGGCTTGGACCACACGGCAGCAGCGGTAAAAAATGGTGAAAGTGGTCAGATTCTAGAAAAGTTTTGAAGGTTCAGTTTGAGGATTTGCTGACAGATTAAGCTTATTTGTGAGAGAAATGGAGAAGCCAAGAATCACTCCAAGGTTTTTGTCCTGATGATCAGTCAGAAGGATAGTTACCTTTAACCAAGACAGGAAACCCATGAAAGAATGAGGTTTTAAGGGGAAGATCAAGGGTTTGATTCCAAACATAAAAATGGAGATGCCTGTTAGACATCCGAGTAGAGATGTTGAGGAGACAAATGTGACAGGAATCGGAGTTCAGGAGAGAACTGGAGACATATCTGGTGTTCATCACCTTATAAATTGTGTAAAGCCATGAAACTGGAGAATTCCAAAGGAGTAAACAGAGAAAAGAGGCCCCCCAAAAGAGTTCTGGGCCTCTCCAAAATGCAGAGGCCACAGAAATAAAGGGGAACCAACAAAAGAAAGTTGGAAAGGAGCCACTAGTGTGGTAGAAGGAAACTGAGTGTGTAGTGTTCTGGAAGCCTAGAGGAGGAAGTGCTTCAAGAAAGAACTTGGTGGCTGTGCCTAAAGCTGCTGAAAATCACTTAAGATGAATATAACTGCAGAACCAGCTCAAAATGGTCCTGTCTTCCTAACAAGATCCTGAGTTGTCTTTCAGAAACAACAGGAGAAGGTATAAGACCAAAGCCGCAAGTCATGCTGCAGAAGCATGTGCAGAGAGAGGAGAAAACTAATCTCCAGCTACACTCAGAACCAAAGTCTCACACACCACCCTGCCATAGAATTAAAGGACCTTGAGCAGAGGCACCCTAGGAAGATCTGGGGCTTCAGCCCCTTATCTTATGATGAATGGCCACGTTCCAAAGCTCTTCAATCGAAACCTGCATAGCCAGCACTTCCACATACGTGCCTGTTTCCCCAACCTTCAATCTTTGCCTTTAAAAACCCTTGATTGTTTCCCATTCTCCTTGCTTGGTGCCTTGCAAATAAAATGGCTTTACTTGCTCCACTGCAAATCTCAATGCTCAGAGTTTGGCTTTGCTGCGCATTGAGCAGGTGAACCCTCTCAGTCTGGTAACACGAGGATGAAGTGACTCTTGGATTTAACAATGTGGAGGTGACTTCAATAACATCAGTTTTGTGGAGTGTGGAGATAACTTGATTGGAGGTGGTTCAAAGAATGTTAGACTAAATCTAAGGAAATGTTAGAAGCAAGTATAGATAAGTCTTTTGAGTTTTGCTTTAAGCCAGGAGGAGAAAAAAAGTATATAGTAAATGAACATTAAGAGAAGGTTGACTTAAAAATGAGAAAAGTGATAGCATGTTTGTGGGTTGTTGGAAAAGATCTAGTCAAGAGGAAAAGATATGGAAATGAGATGAGACTTGCCAGAGTGATAGCCTTCTAAAGAAAGAGAGTAATTACGTAGTACATAGGAGGAAAGGTGTATCTTTGACGGAAGCATGAACTACAGACAGTTCAACCACAGTAACAGAAGTGAAGGCAGGGTTGGTGGGCCCAGATGTACATAGAACACTCAGTGTGATGGTGGGAGTTTGAGGGGTTTTATCTTTCTCTTAACATTTTATCTGAGGTACATATGTATCCCAAATACATAGCTCAGTAATTTTTACAAAGTGAACACACCTTTGTAACTAGAACATAATCAGCAACCAAAGGCTGCAAAGATAACCACTCTCATGACACCATAGATTATTTTGCCTGTGTTTGAATTTTTTATCGTACAATATGTTAAACAACAACCTTCAAGGCTGAAAACTTTGCTGAAAGAAAGGGTTTATTGAGCCATATGCTAGCCAAAGGAAAGGACTAGGTCCTGGAACATGCAGTCTAAACCAGCAGCAGCAGGGTTAGATGGAGAAGACAGATATGTCTGCTGTCCTGGGGCTGACAGGGCTCTTTCATACAATGACTTTTGGGAAGAAAGATGTAAACTGTTTTGAAAGAATTTGCACTGGCTATAGATAAGAGTCAGGAGAAGATGAAGTTGGGGCTCGTTCTAGAATAGGTGCACAGTCCATAAGGAAGAGTTTGGTTGTGGGCAACGGTCCGGAAAGCTCACGCGTAAGTAGGATGTGGTGGCGTCCAGTGGTCAGCACTTTTCTCTAGATGATCTCAGAAATAGCCGCCTGGAACTTAATTCAAAGTTCCCACATACATTCAGGAATGTAAGCAGTCTTTCTGGTTTTTGGCCCACAACTGTTAACTCTTGTTTCTTCTTCCACCCTCTAGCCTGCTGTAATTTACCTTAGGACATCTCAGAATTTTCCCTTGTCAAGTACCATGATCTGTTTTGTTTATGAGTTTCATTTATGTTGTTGAGTGTAGCAGTAGTTCAATGATTCTTGCTGCTGTGTGATATTCCATTATATGAATATACCATAGTTTATTGTATCATTGATGAATACCTGGGTCGTTTCCAGCTTTTGTCTATTGAGTTGTGCTCCTATGAACCTTCCTGAACATGTATTATCATAGGGGACATATGTATACGCTGCACTTGGGTATGTATCTATGAGTGAAATTACTGGGCTGTAAGGTATACATATGTTCACATTTGTCTCGTTGATCTGTGTGTGTGTTTTTATGCCAATACCATACTGCTTTATTACCAGTTTTGTAATATAGTTTGAAATCAGGAAGCTTGATGCCTACTGCTTCGTTCTTTTTGCCCTGGCTATTTGGGATCTTTTGTGGTTCATCTTGGGGAACAGAATGAGTAAAAGCAGAGGGAGAAAAGCACAGAGCATGTGTCCAGTCAGTCCCTTAACTCAGCCGGATTAGTGTTACGCATGCATCTCCAGACGTGGAAAGAACAATCTCAGTTCTCTGCCCAGTTTTGAAGCCTATTTCTCTTGTAACAGAACATTAGGAGGTTCACAGAATCAGAGAAGAGTAGGACATTCAAGAGAAAATACTGCTAAGTCTTTCTGCACGATGCTCTTTTAAGCTAACTCCACTAAATCCTTTGCTGTTATGTTGCCAAGTTCCTGTATCTTTTATAAGGTGAAATGCCTTGTTCCACACCCCATGCAGATTCTACCTAAATACTAAGAAAATGAGATTTTATTATTACATCACGTGAAAAATAGCTGGATGAGGGTATTTTTAGAATGGGTCCATAAAGCAAAGGCTACAAATTCTTCTGGAGTATTTGAACTCTCCCTTACCATGTACTGTTTTATTAAGTTTAAATTTCATTACTATGCTACAAATAATTGCTTCCCTAGTTGAGATGTATATATACTCAAATATATGTACATAATTAATAATTAAAAATTTTACTATTAGTAGCAATTTTGACCCACTCAAAAATGATGGCAGCACATCTATGACACTGTGGTTGATATCTACCAATAGATAAAATTAGCTGAAGATAGATCACAAACAAGCCAATGACCAATCTGACACTAAACCCAAAGAGGCTATTCTTTGCCCACTACTCAGGTGTTAAAATAGCACTTCGAAATGCATCTAGAGAGGATTGACTCTTCAATGTTACAAAAAGCCTAGCTTTTACTTAGTCTTGATGGTAGACTAATGGATTTTCTCTTCTTCTGCATTAACAGCCAAGTAAGCTCGTTATCACTGGAGCCTGTGGCAAGGTGGGAGAGCAGTGATGTGAGGCTCATGCTGTGACTTTTTCTGTAATTCCAGTAAAGTCCAAGTACCACTGTGTGATGATTACAACACCTACACTGCAAAGCAAGTGTCAGCTTTGTGATGTATATGCCAGTAATTAGATCAGATAGGAGAAAATGTCCAGCTATGACTTCTGCACTCCTACCCAGCTAAAAGCAGAGGGTGTACAGATAGCTAACCTAAGTCTGAATTGGTTTCGACAGACAGAATGCAGTCTATACTGCAGGCGTTACATACGTTACCTGGATGAGTACCTGAGTGAGTACTGGAACAGACTCAAGTTCTTCATGTCCTTTGTTGAATTTTTTCATGTACTTAAATGACTCCTTTGTTTGAGGTCAGAAGAGGTCAATATGGGTTACAGTCAGGTATAATTGAGTTTATTTTGAAGGATGGGTGGGATTTTGATTCTGAAAGGCATGAAAAAGTGGAAGAAACTGCATAATCGACTAGAGACTCAGACCTGACTTGTTTCTCAAGCATAACGGGAACAGACTATAAGATGGTTGGTAGGGAAGGTTAGTAAGAGAACACTGGAATAGATTACACAGAATGGGCTGCAAGGATGACAGCTAGTTTGTGTGTTAAGGGCTATACTGGCATGCTGAGGTAACCCCGCAGAAGCATCCAGAGGATGGCATAAGCCATTATTCTTATTAGTAGATCAAGGCAGGCAAAAGTATCTTACAAGAAACTCCTCACTTAGGGTCAATGTGTTGCTTCTGCTTCTGTATCTTTTGCAAGTACAATCTATTGACATCATTTACAGGATTTTAAATTCTCAAACAGGCATACAACTCTAGCCCTATACTTCTGGAAGACTTTAGTAACTGTTAATTACATGAAAAATGTTTACACAACTTATTTCTTAAGAAACAGAAGTTTCTACAACCATTCTAGTTTTACTTTCAACGTGCTTGTCTCCTAACCATGATGGTTAACTTTCAAAGTAAAATGACTTGATTTTGGTTAATTGCAGTTAAGAAAATCCTAATTATGTAACCTTAGGTAGTTTAGAGGTTAAGTTGCACTTTCTAAATCTGTAAAAAGGGAACAAAGTTCAGGGTTGTTGTGAGGATTATCCAGAATATATGCAACACATATAGTACTTGGTCTCACTCATAATAGTAATGTTGGCTATTATCTTACAAAATGTCTCATTTCTCTATTGCTAAAGAGATCAGACTTGCGCAACGATGCTTAAAAATAACTTGTTATATAACATGCTTCAACAACTGAAAAAAGACTAATATAAATATTTAAATTTTAATAGGTTCATGAAAAGCAATTTTGCTGAAGATTACTGCCAACTATCATCACTCACCAGAGGGGAAAAAAGGGTGATTTTTCATCTTTATGAGGCAGCTTCAGTACATTGAACCAGGGTTTAATTGTGGTTGACCACATGATGGGGGGTGGGGGTGGGGCACTGTCAAACACCTACTTAAAGGATAAACAGGGCCAGGCCCTTATTAAAAATAGTTGATCTTGATTAACCTGTTGTAGCTGCTAAATTCCAGTTACTCAGCTACCTTGTGCCTGACATGCCCTCTAATTTAGAAATTTAGACTAAGAATTATTCATTATATATTCCTAGATGACAAACAAGGGAAACTTTCCCCCTTCAATTACACAAAGATATGGCATACATTTAGGACTTTTTATTATAAGTCTAATAATTGGTAAAATGTAGATCATTTAAAAATGTATAAAACTTGACCAATATGGCCAATTCAAAAATAACATGTTGAGACTGTTTTATGTTGTGGAAAATATAGGTTTTTGGCTTTGTTTTGGCTATGGAAGCTGTCTGAAGATTGTCTAACTTGTCCTAATTCAGTTGTACTTGGTAGGTTATTTTTTTTACATTGATTATCCTTGGTTTTGTACTTTTAAAAAAGAAATTTTCTAAATTAAATTTCAATCCAGAATTTGGTTTTGTTCTTGCTGATGCTTTCATCACTTCTTACAACTAATAAAACTAAAAATAACCTGACTTTACTGAAATGAATGCATTTTCTAATTTCCTTTGCAGGGAACATGATGCTCTTTCAAAATGCTTATCTAATATCTTCATATTGTTAGCTTAATAGCTCTACCAGTTATTACCCACATTGAGTTTTAAAATAAGTTTATTAAAGAATGTTATTAGGTAGGTATTGACGTTTGATTTGTTATTAAAAAAAAGTTCTGTTTCTTCATGCTGTATAATAAAGGTAAGAGGCTATAGAGTTATAAGCTTCCTTCTACTGGATTCTCTGATAGTATAGCACAGTGTAGTCATCTCTGCAATGCTAGAATAAATAAAGTCTCTTCTATGCTTCTCTTTAAAAAGCGATGAATAACAACAGAGGATGGCATAAAAAAGCCATTTTTCTATTCATTCTGTAGTATTGGAGCCAGTATCTAGGAAACAAAGGAGAGAAAAAGTAAATTCAGGGAGCAATTTAATTTTAAATTTAAATATTTTAATATTTTAAAACAGGAACTAATGGTGGTGATGCAATTTTAAGGGGTGGGGAAGAAGAGGAAGCAAGGCTGAGGAGGGAAGCTGTCCATGGAAATACCTTGAGAACTTAAATAAGGCAGAGGTAAAAAGACTGCTTAGCTTTCCATATTATGCTAGGAAAAAAAACAAGTTATATACTACATTTGGTTTATATAACTGCAAACAACCATATTTTAAACCAAAAGGAACATAACATATAATCAGAAGAGAATTGTACTTAATTCATGGTGAGAAAGACTGACATTCTGGCTATCATTTTTTTCTTTATTAGGAACTCAACTTTATTTCAGAAAGTGACTTTTAGAAAAAATAGGCATATTTCATGGTAGCAATGCATTTATCTGGTTATTAAGGAATGGTATTATTTTTAATCACTCATCTTTATTGATAAAATATGTTTCTGTGTACTATATACCTTCGGACATAAATTTAAGGTTCTGCTTATAAGTATAGGATGGAAAACTGTTGCTATATAATAAAGTGAATGTCTTTAAACACCAAGATCTTAAAATTATATCCAATTATGACTAAAAAGAACTCAAATGAAAACTAATAATAAATTTGTTAATGAAAATAATTATATTATCAAGTAATGTTTTTAATAGAGCTGCCTCAATTAACTGCCTCAGACTTAATTTTAGCTGTGTTGCTTTTCTTCTTCAATTCTAACTTGGGATAAAAATTTATTTGCT